ATACTTTTTATTGTGACCGACGATTCATATTTAGTGGAGGCAGCGCGGTGCGGCAATGGGGGCTTTTAGAAAACAGCTAGTGATCTATGTCAATTTTCAAGTAAAATTTATAATCGCTTGTTAGTGCCTAAGAAAGCTACATGCAAAAACTTCAAGGCCTCGTATCCCAACCGGGAAAAATATTTCAAGATACTGAATTTCACCGCCCCCCTCGCCCCACCTCCGTTTAAGGCCATTCTTTATACGACAAATCTGAAAATAATCCTACTCCAGTACTTAATTAAATATCCAGTACTTAATAAATAAAAACATATAATTGAAATGTGGTTATTTTCAAACTCAATAATTTGCTTCGCAGTTAGACATATAAGTATTTTTTAAATTAAATTCAAAAACAGCGCGCTTATCTGAAGTCTTAAATATAAAATTGCGATGCGAATGACATTTTTGGGTTTATTCTTCAAACATGGGATCAATTTTTAGAGATAATTATTATAATGCATGAAATAAAGCATCACGATACGATTGACAAATTATAAAATTTTGCATCGATTTTTGCTTAAAATGAAAAGATACACACGCGGTAAATATACAGTATTTAGTAATATTAGGAATTCTGAAAGTGATAATGCAATCGTATTGCAAATGTCGCATCTTAATAGTTTCAGCAACACAACGTCGCATCTGCACGCAGAGGCGCAGATGCGATCCTTTATATCGTTAAAAGCGAAAGGCGGACGGACGCTACGCACGTGCGCGACTACGAAGGTATGCAAAAGGGTCTTCGAGACTTGGATTAAAGTTATGAATATTGTTTACTATGGCAGCGATTATCGCAGGCAGTCGTTAATAAAAGAGGAGAGAAGGGTCAACATTATTATTTAGATGTTTATAAGTAAATACTTATATTGCACTGAGGTCAGGGAACGGTGAGAATGAGTCCGTGTTGTTCTGGAGATGTAAGAAAGACGAGAGGCAAAAGCAACGCACCTTGTGTCCGGTGCGAAGGCGGGTGTGCGCCAGCGCCGGCGCCGGCGCCGGGAAAGAAAGTGAGCGCAAAGTGTGCCGGCGGCCGTGCCGGCGTCAACGGGGCTGGCGCTCGCGCGCACGCTGCACCCGCGCTCCACACATCCATGGCAAGGGCACGCGCATCGCTCGCGACCACCTCCCTGCGCGGCGGCTCGCTGCGCACTGTCGCTGCCGACGGCCGCGTTCTACAGTTCGACGGCGTCTGCCCCGCTGCCGCCAACCGCGTCCTGGCCACAACTCTCATCTTCCGGCAGGCTCTGAGGGCTGAACACCCTTTGCTGCCTCCGCTGCTCTTTACAAACATACTCATCGCGTCGCGTGCTACGATTCAGATCTTCCACTTTCAGCGCCAAAGCTATGCGAAAATTCCGCATCCGCACTCGTCGCAATATCGATCTTCACTGTAATCGTGTGTTCGAAACCCATAACTATGCATACTCATGCGCGTACGTCTGGAAATGTTTACCGTGGCTTTTTTTTAGTTTTTATTGGTATTTTCCCCTTTTTTCCTGTTTTACTTTATCCTTTATCTGATCTTTATATATAATATTTTTCTTCCTCAATTAAATAATTACATTGTTCTGTTTTATGAACTTTTAAATTGTCAGTGTTGACCTATTCAGGAAGCAAATCAGTAGAATGTTTAGTTGCATTGCAATTTTTAGTAATGTTGGCTCGTTATGGGCGCGGCTCAGCGCGGCGCGGCGATTAGCGATACCTCAGAAAGTGCCAGCCTCGCAACAAATTTCTACCTCCACATAAATACTTACGTATCATATAGTTAAAGTCTACTTATGTACTGAAGTTTCCAGTTTTTTCATCATTACCAAGCGAAGCGATTCATTAGTGTTAACTATAAGTTTAATAATTCTAATAGAATTTCTGTGTATCAAACACACACCGTTCAAAATTTTAGTTGCCGATTGGTAAGGATATATGCTGCTAAAGGTACGGAAAAATAAAAATAATTAAGTTTAATTAATTTTTTTCTTAAATCTATGGTAAGAAAAATAAACCAGAAGTAGACAATAAGTAAGTAATGAATGGAATGTGTGTGCAATATGTTGGCAATGTGTGTGCAAGTATAATTGTGTTCCTGTGGCGGGTGGGACGAGTCAGCTCCGCAGTTACGCAAAAACTTTTGGACTCAGATTGAATTGGCATATAAAACAGTTCACAAAAGTGGTGTTGACGACGCACGGTCTGACACCGCGTACGCTTTATGTCAGTACATTTGAATTGCTTATCTCCGTATATTGAACTAACATAAAAAAATCATTTGCCAACGTTCGCTGTTTCAAATTGACTTCGTTAAGTCGACAGTTCCGAAAACATAACTACACTAGCCCTGGCACGCGACTCCGTCAGCGCAGAATTAAAATAGTAATATGAAAAGTCCCCACAAATTCGGTTACGCTATTTCAGTGATTACCCGGAAATAAATAGACAGACTGACAAAAATTTTAAGCTAACTTTAGCTTGTTTTTTTGTTAAGCTAACTTTAGCTTGTTTTGTTGAATTTCTTCGGTTGTTTCCTTTCGTCCGATGTAATCCACATAATGAATGTGCGCTGACTGTACATCAATGGGACATCTCTTAATATAAAATATTGTATCGAGACAATCCAATTTTAGTCTTTGTAAATATTGTTCAGGTTCAGATGTTTACGTGGAAACAGACGCGTTCGATATTGTACGTAACCTCGATCACGTGTTTGATGCATTGGTAAGTATTAAAAAAAGCCCGCAAAATCATCGAGAGCAAACCAAGCCGAGCCCGACACTTTAAGGCTAATATTATACTTGGTTTCTGAGACCAAAATCCAAGTTTAAACAAAACATATTGTAGTGTTGTTTTGTTATAATACATATAATGAGATGGGATTTGGGCAATAATTAAAGCCATTGAGGATATAAGTTGTAAGTAATTTGCTTACAAATTGTTTTTGTATTGAACATAGTCGAATTTCGATAGTAGGTAGGGACCTATTGCTCCCCGGAAACCATAAAAACATAGAACATAACTTGTGGAAATTGCCTGTACTAACATTGTAGGTTGTATGTACGGAGAGGGCGCAACGCGATACTTGCGACAATGCGGCGATACAATATTAGTTTCGAACATTTACATTGCCTTGTGTGTGCCGACGACGGCGCCGGAAATTGAAAAAAACTGAATTCGAATCCTTGACAAAATTTAACTGAACTGATGAATTTTAAATTGAATTTATCCTATAATACATATTTGATTCGGCCAAAAATTCATATATATGTGGTCACCTACAAGTACGTATGACATATATACATACAAGTGTCGCCAACAGTAGCCACACTAGACAAGTTCACAAATTTTTGTGAGATGTAAAATCTGCTAAGGGCCCAATCACTTAAGCTATAAACGAGATAAAAAGCTGGACGCGGGTTCTCATGAATAAATATACCTATTTAATAAAAAAAAACGTATCTATTATATGCACTTAAAGATATATATATATATATATCAACAAGATATTAGTAGAATAAGAGAGTTGGCATACCTGGGGAGAGCGCGCTCGGCTGCGGCGAGTCCTCCTCCTTGAAGCTGCGGACAAAACATTGGTACATTTTAAGTTTTGTTGTTAAGCATTCCGTACCAATTACTTATTCTATGGTATATACACTATGTCTACGTCTACTTAGTACAACTGTATTTTCAAAAATAGCTGTGAAATCATTCAACCAATCGCGGCACGCAAACGTACTTAGAATTACTTTAAGTTATTGGGTTTCAATTTATGAAACGATTGTCTCACACATAAAAATTGTACATCAATTGGACACAAACAGATGGATACTTTGTCAAGGATATTTGGATAGCAATTGATGTGGCTAGTGGGTTATTGGGAATTCTATACATTCAAGGTCAAGGAGCATTTTTTATCAAAATTTAGGAGGTAGCAACAGCCAGAGGCGGGCGTCAACCGAGCTGCTTGAATTGTAAAGTAAATTGACGAAAATCTGTTATGCATGGCGATATCCCACGCCCCACGCCCCGCACCCCGCGCTTCGTCACCCGCCGCACCGCCGCCCGCTGACTCCTCGCTCTGTCCTAACCACTATTATATTAACAAATACATATTCTTCCAGCAAGATACCACACCACACTCCAGCTCCAAAATATTTTCTATTTTGTTGCTCAGCCAGTCCTCGAGTCCATCTTTGTTGAATGTATGATTAACTACTGGGTTGGTTAAACCATTGGCCCACAGAAATCATAATATGGTCCGCGAAAGATTTTAAATTTGGCGGCACACAAGCCTTCGGTCGCCATGTCGTGATGAGGTTAGTAGTCAGGGTCGCCAGCACGGCGATGACCCTGAGCCTAACACGAAAAATTGTGTGTAAAATAATTTGGACTGCAGGAGGTGTTCGGCAGTAGCCTACAATTCGCCAAGAAAAGCTTATAAAAAATGTGAAAAAAATGAAAAATGGTTTATTGCTTAAACAAAAATGATACATACTAACATTTGTGCCGGGACTTCCATTTAAGCATCCATAACGGGCTTGTGATTGGAAGTCCCGCTCTTCCGTGTCACATAAACTATATCAATGGTACCTTCACGTCATCAGGAACGAAATAAAGGCATCGCCAAAATATTTACTACAGCCGCAACAGACTACCCTAAGAAAGTGGTGCCGAGACTATAGTCAACCACGCTGGGTCAGTGCGCTGGTTGACTTCACACATATCTTTGAATTTCTTCGCTGATGTGTTGTAGGTTACATTACGATGTTTTTCTTCACAGTATAAACGTCGGATAAATGTGCATAATATGGAAATCGATAATAAAAAAAAAAATTGTGGGTACATGGTGAGATTCGAAGTCGGAACCAGCGGATCACAAGACAAGTGCTAAACCCCTGAGCCATCGACGCTCGCCCATATGGAATATATGTATAATATTTGAGATGGGCGACTGCAGGAAACCACAGACGTCCAATAAAAGTAACTCCGCGCTTCGTGTGATGAGTGTGCGTGCCGTGCCATACGCCTTACTTTACCCCTCTTTCTCTTTCCATCTTTTTCTTATTAGGAAATGACGGCTAAGGGAACTACAACTGTGGATGTTTATAAATAGCGGTCGTATCGCTATTCCGAGGAATTAAAGCGGTAATCATGGTAATCATCAGCCTTTATTACCCTAAATCTGGGCGTACCGTTTACCGTTTAACAGTTGTAGAGCCCGCTTTAACATCTTCGCACGAATTGGCCTGGCTCGCTCGGTGAAATACCACGACCACAAAGAAGACAAGCGTGAAGTGGAAGCAATTCCGCGTTTCGTCTGATGAGTGTGCGTCCCGAAGGCCTAATTTAGTCCTATTTCCCTTTCCACCCTCTTTCTTATAAGGAAAGGATGGAAGAGTAAGTGGACATTCCAGATGAGAGGATGCATGGGAAGGGAAAATATTTTCATTCTGTGCATCCTCTCCTCTGTCGATTAAAGGTAGGCAACGCATATGCAATTGCGTATGTCTATGGGCAAAGGTTACTTCGCTATTTCAGCGATTTTAAATGGCCGCTCGCTCGTTTGCCACTTTATCTTATAAAAAAAAACCACCTTATTATATTAAAAATGTTATTTTTTGTATTTCAACATGATTTTTTGTGAATCAAGCATTTCTGCAGAAGGAATAACACCTTTAAATAGAAACTTTAAAGCCTCCCGCCTTCAGTCATTTAAGGGATGAGTTAAGTAAAATCCATTCTTAGCGCTTGGCAAGTAGCTGTAACATCTGTGTATAATTTCAAGGCTCTACTTGTCAAATTTCCTCTTAAATAAATTAATTTCTTTGTTTAATTTACATATTTAGATAACATAAACTGTTCCCAATTATTATAACTATCTAGATATAAAATCCATACTTTAGTGTCGGGCTCTACATATGTACAAGTGCACAATACAGTTTACGAGGTTCTTATTGTTTTATTACAATATACATTTATTCCACAACGAAACTCAAGAGTAATTTTAATTTTACTTTAAATAAATTTAAAGGTTCTTTTTGCAGCTAATAGGCATCAAGCCCTAAAGTAAAGGGACGTCAAGGGCAAGGAAGAGGCCGCGGAAGAGGACAGCTGATACAAAGTATCGATTTGACGATGAAACCATTACCTACGTCAAATGTGCGTCGCGATGTATGTAACTACGTAGCTTGTGCTAACTAACACAATGTCCCCGAGCTCCAGTCCCCCGGCTCGCTCGTTTCCTTCTAGTTAATACAACTTGCAACACTTACGTGTATAGGTCGTCCTCGATTTTCGATGAGCTGGACGCATCGACGAGCAATGAACAACTCATCACTAAACTTTTACGATCACTTTACATCGCAAGCACCACGTCATTGCCAACTTCGCCACCGCCCGCCATGTTCACTTCGAATCCACACTTTTTAATCCACTGAATAAATGTAGGCGCAGCAATTTATAGCGAACAGCAGAACATTGCGCGGAAATACATAGTTTCGTGTTGGGATTGAAATCACTGACGCGGCCACGAAGTACGAGCGAACCGGACGACGTAAGCTTGCGACGACGGCCGCCGCCGCCCTCCGCCATCGCCACACTGTGCCCACGCAATACTTTGAGGAATACCGTCGATTTTTACTATATGCAATTTAAATTATAAGTACGAAAAAATTATGATCGAATTTCGAGCAATGGCTATCGCTACTTTGAATAAATATGTCTTTTTAATCAAAGATTCTGACTTTGAGTAGAGCAGTGTGGCGACCGCCCACTACGCTGGACAGAAGGGAGCGCCCTAGTCGGATATAAAGAGGCGCTTGTGGCACCCCCTAACATACCCGAGGTTTGGAAAATTTCCCTTCGACACATAAATCCGCTCAGAGCGCCAGAAATGCTAAAACCGGTAGTATAGGCGGGTAAAGTTCAAAAACCAATGGCCCGCTATAACTTTTAACATATTAGACATGAAGGGAGTCGCCGTGTCGATGTTACGTCGCCAGATATGAAGTGCAGAGGGCGCATGCGTTACTTCAACCTTGAGCGCACTTCCCGGTTCACGGGCAGAAGCTCAGTCTTACGCCTTATGGGTCAATGTGTTTGTAGGTCTGCAGCGGTAGTGGCAGCGAAGCCAGCCACCGCCCACCACACAAACACGAAATACGACATACGACACACGGATTATCATTTACATCAGTTATCATGGAAAAATAAACAATACTGAACAAAAAGGGAAAATGCAATGACACGTTAATTGTGCTATTGATGAAATATTTATATCTCCATTCTGAAAATACTCCTCATTTACAACATAGACGTTAAACTATAATACCAATACCACATACACTGAAGACAAACGAGCGATGGGAACACCGAGGTGATCACAGACATCTGCAGAACACCAGAGAAACCGCGGATGAGTTACCGGACTTTAAGCAAACTCGCTGCTTGAAGGACCCTAAAGTCGTAGTGGTGTTCTTTCTCAGTTGTCATTGATATTCATGTGAATATGAAAGAATAATCATATTTTGGTCACTATTTATATCTTAAGACATCTATCGGCAAATTCGTTAATTAATTCAAACTATGCATGTGCTTTTGGCTATTCAACAATAGATGGCGCTGTTGATTTGGTAAAAACTTTTTAAGAGAAAGCCTTATGTCATCTCTATAATACCATAGAATCTCTGTGATTAGGACGAGGAACGAATAATAGATTTGGTACAGTTTAATTCGCAATGGTACCCAGCATTTTAACTTACCACTTATTGGTCCGTCTTATAGAAATAGTTATAATCTATGCGAACAGATAAATAAAATTTGAATGTCTTTGTGTAACAAACATATTTTTTCTTTTAGTTTCATGCAAATGATATTTGTGAGTGTTACTTATTATAAAAAAAAATCAATCTGGACCGATTCAGTTTTAATCAAAAATAAACTCATCAACATGTAAGAGACTAACACACGGGAGTGACATTGGCTTATTTCGTTTTTTATATAAATTTTGCGACTTGAAGAAACATCTCACTAATTATTTCGATGCGGAAGAAGAGGCGGGCAACAGCTAGCTTGTTTTAGCGTTATATTTAAACATTTCCCAGTTTCAAAACCTCAACCAATACATTTCGGACCTTATTCTGCTATAATCTGTTAAACACTCGGTCGGCCCTACTGCAGATACAACCGGACATTTGTCATAGATATACTTTTGGCCGATTCTTTTAATTGTGTCGACGTTCACATGGCTCATTTCTCTGTTCTTGTCGGTTAAACTGGCTCTAGCGCAGTTGTACAATATCTGAAGGCCGAGGTCGTGACATGACCTGACACACCCCTCTAATTCCTGCGCCAGCTTACGCTTTGCATAATTAATACCTCTTTGCACTTCAACGTCAGTGACGCTCGTGCAAAAAGTCATCCATTGATGTTGTACGTTGTGCAAAAGTCCATCCAAATCATTTCTCTCGGCAATGTAGTACACGCCCCAGAGGCCGATGTCTCGATACGCGATGTAGAACGGCTCATAAGACTCGCACAGTCCACTCGCCGCCGCCCGCGACAACATAAAGCCGTGTGTGTCGCCGCCGCCCTGACTCCGCTCCCAAACACCGAGAATGCAACTTGCCGCGAAGAGGGGCCAGAAGTCGGGGTCCTCGTAGCCGCCCACCTCGACGGCGACGGCGACGTGCGCGAACGGCATGGAGTCGTCGCGGAGCACCAGCGAGGAGCCCGTGTAGCGACACGCTTCGTACGCCCCCGAAGGAATCGGCTCCATGGCCACGTGACTCAGCCTCTTCTGAGCCTCGCTCATTATATCCAGGTGTACCACTCCACCGGACGCAGCTAGCACTATGTTTTCAGGATGGTAGCGTTGTTTTAAAAAACTACATGCCTCGTTTTCGTCAAAATTTTCTAGGTTCTTAAGAGGAGCAATCACATTATATGCTAGCGGTGTTTCTTGAAAAGCCGCTTGATGCAAATAGTCGAATGTTGTATGCTTAGGACACGCCTCGCGGTCCTTTAACTGCATTATGATATCTTTTTTCACTTCTTGAATGTCACAATGCGCAAATTCAATGTTAGTGATAATGAGAGACATGATGTAGACGAGCTGCGCGGAGTAGCGCGCGGGCGCGATAGCCGAGAACAACTGGTACTCCCTTGTGGTGCGGGCAGTGATGTGACCACCCATGCTCTGTAGGCATTCCTCCAATTGCTTTTTTTTCATGGACACAAATCCCTTGAACGCCATGTGCTCTATAAAATGACTGATGCCATTATTTTCTGCCGTTTCGAATCTCGATCCCGTTTGTATAAAGAGCGAAAGGCAAACTAAGGGCGAGATCGTTTCCTCGACGGCTACTCTAACTCCATTCTTTAACACAGATGTGTATGTTTCATAATGATGAACATTTGCTAGTAAAAAATTAAATGATGACCGCCTGAATAAATTAAACATTTATGAAAAAATAACACTGTTTTATAGAGTAAGAATGATATTCTAGGTTAGAATTCACAAATTCAACAAAAACGGACAATCATCAATGTTTCTTAAATGTTTGTATTTGTACACCAAAGAGTATGCAATTACACTCACTTTGAAAGTTCATATAAAAAGCTTACAATATTTTTTTTCATAATTTCAAGACGGCTAACCATTTTATAGAGTTTAAAAAATGATGCTTTTGAAGTATAAAACTAATGTTGTACTTAATGGACGAGTGTCACAGTATCGGGCCGTAAGCGTATAACGAAACACTATGAACAATCAAGAATCGACCTTGCACGCCCTGACCGCCCTGAAGAGGTTCATGGAGGACGCGGCCGAGAGGGGACAGGGGGCTATAGCGATATCGCTGGATATCACCAATGCTTTCGGCTCCCTCCTCTTCGCGGTGATAGAGGAGGCACTTCGGTACCATGGAGTGCCTCTCTATCTCCGGAAGTTTGTAGGGTTCTATCTGCAGGGACGGGTAGTGTCCTCCGGTGTCGGTCTGTACTAGGACCCCTGCTATGGAACATCAGATTCGTCTGGGCCATCCGCGGAGAGGTGCTGCTCCGGATGGCAGGCCAAGGCGAAGGCGGCTGCACAGCGTGTTCCAAAATTCAACGATAAAACGGAAATGGGATATAGCCACATCGATAACTACAAGGACAAAAATACTAAAAAAAATCAAATCTTTTTGTTTAAAAGTTACATTAACTTTTGTAACTTTTTTTTATAATTTCATACCATCCACCCATATGTTTAGACGCTGTGGCTACAAATATCCTATATTCCTGCAATATTTTTTGTATTAGCTACCTAAGTAACATAGCTATTATTTGCAGTTAAAAATTGAACCAAAATTTCACATTTAATTACAAATGTTACTTTGACTGTTTTTTGAAATTTTAAAACATTTTAACTTTTAACCAACTTTGACATGCTAGTGTACGGAGCCTGAGGCTGAAGGTAGGTCCTCCCCCGTAGTGGGAGCTGCTTCAGCAGCTGACGCAGGCGACGTCACGGACGAAAGCGCAAGTGTGCCCGTGGCATCGACATGATGCGTAGGAGGAACAGAGATGTTTAGTGGGTATGCTTCGGGGCGCGGGGTACGCATAAAACATTCCCCTATGAAAAAAAGGCTTGTACAAGAAAAAAAAATGACCAAAGGTTCAAATAAAATGTTGACATTTAAACAGAAACTATTATACGTTTATTCATATCTTGTGACACTTTTTTGACATTCACAGGTTGGCGCCAGTGAGCTGTCATAATTTAGCGTCACTTATGACCACCGGGCCAGATATCCTTGTCGGTCTATACGTCAAAATTAGATTCTCAGTACAGTACGCTCCTTGACCTGTAATTAAAACATTACCAATAAATATTGTACTTTAACTAACTATCTTTATGTCGCAACGAAGAAAAGTTGTCATGTCCAAAAAACCCGCTATACCTACATTTATACAGATCTGTTCCTTGGCCATATGTAACCTACATTCAATATTTATTGCGTTCTCTAAAAAAAAGGCGATAGATAGTGAAAGCTGTCAGTTACATTCATTTAATATAAAATTAAATAATGGTCGACAGGTGGCAAATGGCGAGGCGGTATTATACTAGCTACAGAAGACTAGCTAGACTTAAGGGCCCCTGTGTTAAAGAAACGATATCGTACAAGAACATTATTAGAAATTTGCCACAGATTGAAATCTCAAAATTGTCAAATGGGTTGACGATAGGTACACAAGGGCGGGCGAGCGCCCACGCGACACTCGGGCTGTATGTGAACGCGGGTCCGCGCTATGAGAGCGCCGAGGAGCACGGCATCACGCACTTCTTCGAGCACATCGCTTTCCAAAGCACCAAGACTAGATCCAAGACTGAACTCAGGAGTGCGATGTCGAGCGCTGGCGCTTACTTCAACAGTTTCACTACTCGCGAAATGACTGTTTATTTCACGCAATGCTTGTCACCGGATGTTCCACAAATTTTAGGAATTTTATTCGAGTGTATATTTAACAACAAATTGGAATATACCATAATAGAAGCACAGAAGCATATACTTTCTCTGGAAATACAAGAATATGAGAAAAATTATAGTGATATCCTGTTTGACTATTTGCATATGTCTGCCTTTCAGGGTACTCCTTTAGAACAATCGGTGCTAGGTCCGTGCGACAACGTTACCACTTTCAACTCTAAACTGCTCAGTAGAATTTTATACCAGAGATTTACGCCAAGAAATATGGTAGTGACAGCCATCGGTGGAGTGGAACACAATGAGATAGTAGAACTGTCCAACAAGTATCTAAGTAAAATGGTACACGTGGAGCGCGACGAGGTGGCGCAGTGCAGATACACAGGGGCCGACTTGCGGTACAGGAACGACGACCAGCCCATGGCCCACGTAGCCGTCGCTATGGAGGGCCCCTCATACTGCCACGCCGATTACAACGTGATGACGTTGGCCAAGGAGGTGGTAGGCGGCTGGGACAAGGCGCAGCTCGGCGGGCTGGCGCACGGCTCCAGCGTCGCGCGCGCCGCCTCCCACAACATATGTGACTCATACAAATCCTTTTACATAGCTTACAAAGACACAGCTCTCTGGGGCGCCTACTTTGTCGGCTCGAGGCTGGGCCTGGACGATATGGTGTCGGTGTTGCAATACGAATGGATGAACTTGTGCAATATGATAACCGAGGAGCAGCTGGATAGGGCTAAAAACCAATTAAAAACTAAATGGCTTTCCACTTCTGAGAGCACGGTGAGGACGTCGCATCGAGTAGGCCGCTCCCTCCTGTACCGTGGCTGCCACCTCCCGGTCTTCAAAGGAATCGACGTCATAGAGAACATTACCGTGCAAGATGTTAAAAGTGTTTGCTACAAATACCTATACGACAAATGTCCAGTTGTAGCAGCCACGGGACCTACTGAAACCCTCACCGATTACGCCAGACTTCGGAGCGGTACATATTGGTTAAGACTTTAACTTGGTGAACTTTCAAATTAAAATGCTACTATTTTTATTGTGCAAGAGCTTTTCATTTGTGTTTATACAATTGTCAAATTTTACGTTAACACAAAAACTGTAGCGGGTAGTAATTGTAGAACACAAGTCAGGTAACCGCTTCTATCTTACACAGCCAAGGTAAAAAGGACTTACCTTGAACGACAATGGCTGCCGCCGCACAGAGCGTCAAGCGCAATCATTTACAAGTCTCTTGCGACGAGTCTGGTTCTTCTCCTTTCATTATTTTCTGATAAAAAGCATAGTAGGAGGAGGTAAATTTGACAGAGGAAGGAATGGATGGTTTGTCTGCGAATACATTCCATAGAGTCATTGAAGGCTCTGCGACACAGAAGCTCGTGCAAGCGGTGTTGGCCAGCGAGATGGGTGGGGTGGGGTGGGGCTATAGGCGGCGACCCCTGACATCGTAAAAAGTATGTTGACGTACAACTAATCGAAAACAAATTAAAAACTAAAATAATACAACTCAAATGACAAAGTATAATTTAATGTTCGATACTCAAATAATATTGTATACTAATATATTGTAATATACATAATTGAAACGAAACAGGAAGAAATAAAAAATACAAAATATAATCGTATTAAAAACATTATGTAAATCAAAATTATTGGAATGTAACTAGTTATGTTATTATCTTCATCTTGGTATTCGAAAGAACTTAACAAAAATAAATAAATAATATACGATCATTATTTTCTTTTCACTTTATTTGAACATTTGAATTCGACTGACACAAATACTGAATGAGTACATTTAGTAATACAAACTACTAGCAAATATTCTTCCATTACAACTTGCATGAGGGCGGGCCGGGCTGGTGCGCGCAGCCGCGGTCCCCGGTCCCCGGTCCCTGATCGTCGGCACCGCACTACTATTTACACATAGTCACTTAGTGTACGGTAGCAAAGTATAATGGAAGATTATTATTGGGGGTTACACATTGACATAGACAAATACATAGTCCGATCCGAGACATATATATGTAATAGAAGAATCGATAGAAAAAACAACAAACACAAAACGTGTTCATTGACGAAGCATTGATTTCAATGTATTGAAGGAAGAGCTTATCATCTAGCGGTATATTGTTTATCTTAAATAACATAATCACAATAAAGAGAGCTCAATACAAAGTCAAAATCAGATATTCCGGCAATCCGATAGCGATACTAACACATCGATAAGCCGTTGCAAATAATTTTATTGTATCATCTTTCAGAACGTGTTATTATATTTATTATAACTGACACAAATAACATTTAAATAAATTTGTAACTCGCCTGTAGCAAATAATTTCACAACACATAAGAGCAACCGTTGTTTACAACCGTTTCCATACATTGTCAATGGAACATTATTCAAATCCGTAATAACCCAGAGAATAGTGGCGCCAAACTCTTCTCCATCCAATATGTTATACAATCATTACACATCTCTAATACAAAACTCTACATCATTCCTAGAGCAACCTTTTTCATTATCACATACCTTCAATAGCAGCCTTTCAATTTTCTACGAGATTCCATCTCTACTCCCACACCCACCTCTACATACTGTCAAAGTCAACTGTCCCAGTCCAGTTGGCCACACTGGAGCCAGTCAACAGGCACAGTTGCTTGTCTGTCTGCTCGTGGCACAAATGCAACATTTGTGTTCAGTGTTTGATGTTCATTGTGAACAAGAAAATTTATCTAAAATAATCATATTTATTGTGCTGCAGAAAATGTTATTTTCACTACCTCTTTTTTTGTGTGATATTATACAGAAAAAAAACTTACAGTACATTTCATATTACTAATAAAAATTACGCTGTTTCCCGAAACATTTCGCTTTTGAATTTAGATTTTATCGTAGCGAAATATTTGTTTTTATATCTGAAGGTTTTTTTTAATCGACTTCTAATAAAAGCCATTTTTACTATTTACCCTGATAATAAACAATTTGAGGTTGTTGAAATGGACTGCTTTTTAAAATTTGTTCTTTGTGAAGAAGTGGTACATCTCATAAAACAATAGTTGGATTGCCCGGATCGACACATTTATATATCAAGAAAATTTCCTGAAAAGTCAGTGGATACATACTTACAAACTACTACATTAGAGTATATAATATTATATATGGAAGATGGCTACGTATAGTCCAATATGAATGGACACATTCACATACATATACTTTACATACATTGAGCCGTAACTAGAATACGATTAGGTAGGTAATGCGCGGTAATAAGTTACACGCTACCGCTACCGCTACCACTACCGCTATGTATGTATGTATGTATGTATGTATGTATGTATGTATATCGATAAAACATTTATCAAAAGAAGTATTTGAGCACAGGAATATACTTAATACGGGATAGTAGAAATATGTTATAGTAGTTATATGTATTATTTACAAATATCCGAAGACGGAATATAGTAAAGGGAGTCGCAAAATATTCATTTTCATAAATTGGACAAGATAACATAATAAATATCATTATATTGTAAAAATGGAAACTCCAAATCGGAATAAATAATAATATTCACATGACATTGTTACGCAAACCATTTCCATATCGTACAAATTAAATATTTCATATAAATTATACATCTACATACATCACTAGATGTCACTTGTTCACTTGTTCACTTGTTCAGTGATTATTATTATCATCAAATACCTAAACGGGGAATACTTACTCAATCAACCATTATTACATTCCCTAATACATATTCTAAATGGTTGACTTGGTCACAAACGTTGAGTATTAAAAGGTGGATCTATATATAGCTACGGCAAATTGAAAGCCCCCACCCCCACCCCCAGCCCCACCCTAGGTGCACGTCGGCGAGCATTAACGATTCTGGAGTCGCACCCTGTTTTCAACTACAAATTAAGAGCATTGGTATAAACACAATTTGGTAAAAAAAAATATCGTACGCTAAATCTATAAATACAGCTACCGAAATATGGAATGTATCTAAGTTAAACCTTTTTAATAATAATCTCCTTTGTTATATCAAAACGTATGTTATAAGAACGACTTACTCTACGAGTACCTACATCATAAATATCTTTATATAAAAATAAAAAAAAATAAACTAATATAAAAAAGATCAGGTCGATTACGTAAACTTAAATTAATGGAATGTAAAAGAAAACAAATTATTATTATTATACTTGTTTCCAAGTTTGTTAGTTCTATTACCCCCTTAAAGTTAATGTTTGTTATTTCCCCAAACCTTCATTATAATACAACTAATATGGACATTTTATATAATAATAATAAATCTCTTCTTACTGCGGTGCGGTGTACCTGTGTGTGTATCTCTCGCTGGCCTTTTTATAATTATTTTACCTTTACTAATATATAAATAAATAAATAAATAAAACTTTGCACTTACTCAAACACTTTGGAAATTTGTGTGTTTTATCAAAATAATGATACAATTGTAATAGATATTGCCGGCGCCCTGCCCTACTCATCTACTCTTAACACCTCACCACACCTCACCACATTCTCTGTTTGCTCACTTGCTTACCATCCTACTCCTACTCCACTAAAATGTGTTAAATAATTATATCACCATTTATTTGATAAATATTAATACTGAATTCTACAAAATATAATCCACAAAAAGGTATCACTTTAACTATAAACAAAATTAAATAAAAGGAAGTAGTTCTGTTGTCAGGTGGGAGGTGGGAGGTGGCAAGTGGCCGGAGTGCACTCGGCATTCTCATCTAGCTACTATTTGTCATTGTACACCGCACCGCTTTATTCCTACCGACTTGTATTCTATTTACTTTGATCATATTCCTTATCAGCTATCGGTTTGTCAGAATTTTATTGAAGAGAGCTAATGACTACGATAAGTTTCATCGACTTTTATAACGATGGGACGAGTCTTTCTTAAATTAAAGCTTTGATAAACGCTGCTACGCCACATCATGTCTCGTTGTGCGGCGAGCATGGCGGACGGCTAGCAGACGAAAAGGATCGCCTAACCACATACGAGAAACATTATTTTTATACGTTTGAGGTACGAATTGCTTATAGAATACCTAACAACCCTTGTAAACTAAAATTGTATAAAAAAATAAAAAAATAACCTAAGATTGTACATAATATAAATTGTTCGGATTCTTTTTGTAATGTTACATTATATTATATAAAAAAAAAACTTAAATCCTAAGTAAAGCATACGTAAATTAATGTATGTTATATACATGATATCGTATTTTGTACTGTAAGGTTATGCCTTTTCCTTTATTTCTTGTGCTCTGCTTTGCACGCCGTTGTTTCTTGAGCATTTACAAATCGAAGATAAATTTTGAGACAAAAAATTTGTACGTTTGTATAAAATGGCAACAATTAATTTATCTTTTAACTACTAACATAATCGTTTTCCGTGTTTTATGTTTTTTAAAAGGAATCTAAATATAATAATGTTAGAGACTTGTGTGCGGTGTGTCATGATGGAAGTCGCCGCGTCTCTGTCTCACCAACATACAATTGAAAGAGAAACTTTATGTTGTTCTGTATGCAGCTGCCCTTTAACTAAATACATAATACCTTTATATTTACTTTTGATTTGTTTCATTAATTTTACTTTTACGATACAATTGAGATTTCATAACGCAACATATTTATGTACATTTTAAAACAATTCGCTACCGAAGTTAATTTTCGATGAACTAATAAGCAATAATTCTCGTGTCAAATAAAAAAATATATAAACATTTGTTCAATAACTTTCATAAATACAGTTGATATTGATGCGTTCATCTAACCTAAATATTATGATTTTCTGCAAACACCGCTTCAATTTATTACGTAGTTAAACAAAATGGCAATTGCATTCAAAAATTGGACGATGTTACTATTTTTCTTTCTTTGATCCAAGAGAATATTTAAAGACTAAGTACAAAGAATATTGGAATAATAAAGAGGAGCGTAAACGCGGATTGTAAATATATATAATTAAAGAGTTAAATTTTTGCTTCAGTCTTTGGATTTTGTGGTGGAATGTATACACAACGAAGACAATAATATTCATCTAAGAGAGGACTCCCTTCAACTTAGTCCTTAGTCGTAAAGTAAGTATGGAAGTTCCATATAATCTAACATTAATTAATCGTGAACGCTACTAGCTACAAGCACACTTACAATCTTATACTATACTGCTGCTATGCTGACAGCTGACGTCGCACGGCGGCAGTATATTGCCCTAACGCTAACTCCACTCCACTCTACTCTACTCTAATGTATTCATACGAGATACTAATATCAATGGGAAACCACTTGTCCCGTAAGCATTATATGTTGGAACTCGTGGTTGTGGGTAAAATTCTCTCGTGTTTCCAGTGACCTGACATCTAATCGAGAAATTTCAATTTTTTTTTATTATCTACGGACAATTAAAAGCGGATGGATAATATAGTAAACATGCAATGCAACAAAGAGAACTTCTTAGGGCTCTAGTGATTATTGTATTTGTTGTCGAGATGCGACACATCTTATACCGTCGAACGGTGAAATTATAGTGCGACTGATCGAGCCCGTATTGTCCTCCGCTGAAATATATCAGCAGTTCAGTACAGACACTCGAACATTTTTAATATTTATTACTCGGATCCAAGCTGAATGTTTGCTATGAATATCCTAAAACTACGTCTAATTGTCATATTAATTGTCATTTTAAGCAGTACCTTCATCAGATCCATTTGCATCTATCATGATAGAATAAGAATTTCGTTAAATAAAAAAGAGTACGGGCTCGATCCGCTTAGCAAGAAGCGAGAGATTGTCTCGCTCTCTAATCCTCGGAAGAATTAGGCGCCGCAAAAAGGTAATCCGATTCCCAGCGACACCTCTGCGTCAGGAAGGTGTACAGCTCTAGAGGATCGCAAAGGTCGTCCAAGTCGTTGACGCGACCGTTGCGGCGGTGCGGCGGCACCTGCGGAGGCTGCGGGGCCTGCGGAGGCTGCGGGGCCTGCGGAGGCTGCGGGGCCTGCGGGGCCTGCGGGGACTGCGGGGCCTGCGGGGACTGCGGGGCCTGCGGGGCCTCCGGAGGCTGCGGAGGCTGCGGGGCGCGGCGCGACGGGCGGTGCGAAACGCGGTGCGGCGGGCGGTGCGGGCGGCGGAGTCGCGGTTGTCGGCGTGCAGTCGATACGGTCGCTGCAGTCACTGCGGTCGGTGCGGTGGATGCGGTGGATGCGGTCGGTGCGGTCAGTGCGGGCGGTACGGAGGACGTGGAAGGCACGGCTCGGGGCCGGGGCCGGCGCTGGCGGGTGGCTCGCGCGTTGGCCCTATATCATACAGCCTCCGCGCTCGGCTCTCGCTTCGGCAGCACAGCCTCAGCCACACTCGCCGCAGCCGCAGAATCGTTGTCATCCTCCACAGTGTCGGAGGCTGCGGCTCGCGATGGTGTCGATGCCGGCGTCGGTGGCGGCGGAGATAAGCTGCAACGAAAAGTATCAAATTTATTATAAATAGTATAGATATAAGTATAGATAGCAGCATGTTCACTTGTGTAAATGTGACCTTACTTAAATAAAGAATCGGCGCAAAGCGTGTAACAACATAATTAATTTAATTCAACATGATGACTGTGTACCTAAATGTTAAATTATTAAAATTTGTGTAAGGTGCAATCGCTTCAGCTTCAAGTAATCATGGCAGCAAAGCAGGTAATCATGAACAAAATGAACCAGTTCTACAATAATATGGTGCCAAATTTTCATAAATCAATTGTAAATTGTAAATGGTGATATTTACGCACAGCAAATAAACATATTTCAATGTAAAAGCATCAGACGACACAAAAAAGAATAAACATAAAGAATAAGGTAAGGTGAAGTTGACAATGTGGCAATAAGAAGAGCAAAGCCAAGTCGCCGCGCCCGCGTCAATATGTATTATTTCAAATTGAACTCTGTCATTTGGCTGATACATATAAATGTCAAAGAGTCCATCTCATTAAGGAATGCTCGGACCGATTGCCGAATTCGCCTCGGAGCCAACAACTGCTGCTAGAACACTTGTCATTATAGTGCGACATCATGCCACTAAAATTACAAATGACATGACATGACATGACATAAAACAACATCTACAGTCCCACAAACCGACAGGTTAAATGTACGTTTGATTCAACATAGAAAGAACAGAGAAAAATATTCAGTAATTAGTATTGTATGAGGAGAAATATAAAATAATAATATAGTTAATTAACATAAAACACAAATTGAACTCACTTTCCGGTATCGTTGCGGTCCGCCTTAGCGCTGGGTGAGTCAGAGCGCCAGTTGTTGCCCACCATTTTTTGCACGCTACAAACAAGAAAAAATATTGTCAATAACAAAACATCACAACTGGTTTTTATTATTATAAGTAATATATATATATATACCACATGATCAGGAAACGTAGTGCAACTCCTAGAGTCATGTTGTAAAGGCGAGAAACCATTTTTTTTATATTAGAAGCAAACATAGCTGGGCCAGGGAGAGCAGCGCGCTCTTCTCTTAGGCGATCCGCATTAGTTGTGAGGTGGGCCGAGGCCGGGGAGGCAGCCGGCGGCGCGCAGCTGCGCATTTGCGCACCGCACTATCGATCGCTTCACCAATACACACATCTAACAAACACATCTCGCTCCCCGGGCAAAGCTCCCCTCAGCCCCAGCCTCTGGATCGTGTCGTCCGCCGCGGCGCCGCGACGTCGCGCCGCCTCCCCACACCGCCGTTATACATACGCACACGACTGCTATTAAATGTTTAAACACAATAAAATTGCACAAAATAATTAAGCAATTGGTTACAAACAGTACCAAAACCGGGATTTGGAAAGCAATAATTGAGAAATAGGCATCGAACATTGATATCAGTCATTCGCTTTGTTCGAATAACATGGCGAAACGATCAGAACAAAAACGAAATCAAGCCGTGATAATGGTATCGGATGATCTTGTTGTCGACATAATAACTTGTTATATGTATGTTATATGGCAGGCATGCTCGGTGTCGCCTGCTCTTGATGCGCCACCTGACCAATATATTTAAATGTCAAAAATCAGTTCGTAAACAACTAGCCGGAACAATATTAAGTGAGGTTTCGTATCTCAAGAAGGGCTTCATACAAATCTTACTAATATTATAATATAAAATGCCAATGTTTAGAAAGTATGTCATCTTGAACAACAATTCCACAACAGTGATATTTATAGATCTTAATGAAATTTGGCACAAATATAAGACATAATCTCCACTAAGACATACGTTACATCTTTTTTTTATTCCACTCAGACGTGGCGAAGTCGCAGACAAAAGCCAAATAATATCTATTATAAAAGCGAATATTTGAATGGATGTTGGTTATTAGGTATGTCCTGAACAGCTTCATAAATCTAGATGAAATATTTATATATATATACAAGTGTTGAGTATTGTCTGGAAGAACGCACAGGCTACGTTTTTTTTTAATTATATATAATGCCGAAACTATGAACGCTTCTCGGGGGATACGTACCTTTTGTTTTTGCATATTCACTGGATAACTTTTCAACAGTTTTTACACAGAAACGACGCAATAAGACATAGTATATTTATTCAGCGCGGACATAGTCGCGGGCTATAGTTAGTAATACATATAGGGATTTCTTACACATGTCTCATTTGGTCGCTGTGCTGGTGCTGCGTGGCGAGCTGGGCGAGGTAGGCCGCCTGCTTGCGATGATGGTACATGTGCACGCGCAGACAGGAGGGATTGCGCATGCGCTTCTGGCAGATGTCGCACTGCAGCGTGCCCTCGCGCGTGTCGTGCTTGTCGCGAATGTGAACCTTCAGGTTGTACCGGTTTGCGAAGAACCGGTGACAGGAGGGGCATTTCACACCGCCACTTTTGCAGTTCCACCCTACAGTACATAATACCACTTAGAGTTGCTATCTAAGCATGTGCAGTTCTTGTGCTCGGCTTACATGTCGTCCATCCGGTCGTTGAGTCGGCAGAGCACCACACCACATTTCTGTGTGTGTCTCAAACGGTCTTCTTAACAGCAGACAAAAAAGAGCAAGCGACCACCTAAATTCGCCGAAATGACTTAGCGGCCTCTGCTCACGTACATCCACAATTGCAGATGCGTTATCCACCTTTCATCGACGGAGAAGGTGACGCACAGAAATACGTGTCCTCTTCCAATTTCTTCTTTATAAGACAAGGGTGGGAAGGAAAGAGGACTAAAATGAGGCCTCCGGCATATAGGTACACTCCTCAAACTGTACGCGGAATGACTTCCACTTGACGGCTGTCTTGTGAGTGGTCGTGGTATAGCAGCGGGCCAGCCGAGCCATTCGTGCAACAGACATTGTCTTTGCTGGCATCTACCGCTGTTTAAACCTAACTCCCCCTTAATCTTGGCGTAACAATAAACAAAAACCTTAAGAGTAGTTAATGAATTTCATAATTGAGTACGTACCCGATTCCTTAGCAGACTCCGGCATAACCAGAACATTATTGTATACATCAGCGTCAAAGTCGATCAATGGCTCTCTGTAATACATCCAAAGCAAAAATACACAAAAATATATGAAGGTGCGCAGAGTCGTCGTTACACCGGCGCGGCGTCGCACAGCGAACAAGCCAACTTTACACAAATAAAAAATAAGAAAAAAATAATATTATCATGCGCTACAAACACTAACTAATGCGTTACAAATAATATAATAGTGATCACATCCCCTTACCATACTGGTGCCGCTGTATGTAGGTAAACTTGCGTAAGCACACATCATCTCGCGAGCAGGTCGGAACGTGCCAAAGTAATAACACTCATAAAAGTGTCAATGCAACAATAATTCGACGTATTTTAGACTAAGATTCGGATCCAGTGGTCGTCATCAAAAAGTATGTTTGCAGAAGAATGTCAAGTTAAGGTAGACATACCCGTCAGAAGCGTATTCTGTATTATCAATGTGCATCGGACTGTTGTAAATGGATCGCGATTTCTTCTTAATGTTACAGCTGTTTCTATTGGGTGTATCTTTAAGCAACCTTGAACATAATAAAAAAAACAAACTAAACTCTAAATACCTATTAAAAACCCTAGCAAGTTTGGCGAACGATCCACACGATTTAATGATGGCTCTTTTCCGCAAATACACTTGACTTTTTTGTATACAATATCTAAATAATATATTATATTATATTATAACACTAGATATCGGGCGCGACTCAATCAATCAATCAATGCGCGTGGAATTTAAAAATGAAACACTTTATAAGTAGCCTATGTGTCCTCCTTTCCGACTATATTCCATATTTATGCGGAATGTCATTGATGTCAAGATCTGTTGAGCCGTTCTGGAGATATCTTCAAACACCCATCTAAATTTTCGCATTTACAATATTACATAAAAAGTAAGATTCAAGAAAAATACATGTAATTACATTTCAAATTATTCTGTTGATAAATTGAGGGTTTTCATGAGAAAGCATACATAGTAAAATGACGTTTCATAACGTACGTACGTACATACGTATCTCCAATTATTTTGTTAAAACGTTGTTTGTAAATGTATTGTACGAGTATGACTACTGTATGGAATATATACATATACACACACACACATATTGAGTAAATGTTTGCAGGCAGCTTAGTCCGCCGGGGCTAGGGTTTAAAGTATCGATCGAGCGAAGGGAGAAGGGAGTAGGGAGAAGAGCGCAGGGCGCACGTACCGCTTGAGCGGGCTGCGCGCAGCATCGTCGAGGCCGGCGGCGGGGGGGTAGTCTGCGGGGGCTTCGGTTGCTATGGTGTCCTCTCCCCCGGGCACCCACTCGCTCTGGCTGTCGCCCAACGGCTCCGAGACCTCGGGCCCTTTGTTCTCGTCAGACACTGGCGGCGGCGACTCGCTATGCTGCATAACCATTTTATATGTATGCACATCAGTCTCCAAATGTAATTATCCTATTGATCGCAATGAATTCTCCAGCAGTCAGATAAACATCTCTGTCTGCACCAACATTAAATTGGAGAATTGTATTTATTTTCAACTGATAGAGCATAACTTCGTTTTAACTCTCAATATAGTTTATTATTATGATTAATAAAGTATTAAATTACTGTTTATATGTTTGTCATCTGTGTTGTATTACTAAAACTAGTAAAAATGTTACAACGCATTCAACACGAACATTCTTACGACGCCATACAATTAGAAAATCCCTACAGAAAGATTTGCGGAGCTAGCGGACAAAGTGAATTCCATAACGAACTTAAAAAATGTATGGATCTTTACTTATCTAAAACTAGCTGTGCCCGCGACTTCGTCCGCGTCAAATTCTGTCTTTGGTTAACATGTTAATTATTTCGGTTACTTATTTTGCTAACACTTATAGTAGATCACTACAAAACATATTTAACTCACAAAAGATTTACATAAACTTGTGATATTCGAATACAAACTTTCAGTTTAACAAAAATTGAATATCATATTTATTTATATCAAATTAATAGCCTACAAAATAAGTTTTAAGCTTCTTACTGAAAAAATTACGAGTTTCCCATACTAATTTCCACCCCCACTTTCAACCCCGTACAACCTTTTTTTCGCGTTAAAAAGCCTACGTCCTTTACCAGGCTCTAGACTATCCGTGTACCAATTTTAATTTAAATCGGTTCAGTAGTTTTTGCGGGAAAGGAGAACAGACAGACGGACAGACGGACAGACAGACAGACAGACGGACAGACAGACAGACAGACAGACAGACAGACAGACAGACAGACAGACAGACAGACAGACAGACAGACAGACAGACAGACAGACAGACAGACAGACAGACAGACAGACAGACAGACAGAGTTACTTTCACATTCCTAATATAAAATAAGGATTAGTAAGGAAGTAAGGATTATCGTTAGTTCTAAACATTTTTGACGTTCGTTATGGACTCACTGCCTCCATCTTGCCTTGTTTATTTTATTATTTATATCATTTGAATAATTTATTATAATTTGGCATTTAATTGACAACTAACTTTTTAAATAAACTTTTTATATAATAAAAAATAGTATAGTCAATTGATTAAGACATTGACAGATTGGTGATGGTGGTTGTTCTCATAGAACTTGCAATCACAAATTTCCTGATTATTGTTTATGAAGTACAATATATAATAAATATAATTGTTTCATTCTATTCCTACTTTATCCTTCATAACTGCATAAAGAAATCAAAAAAAAATAACAAAAATTGCAGTGTTGACAAACAAAACAAATATATTTAATTTCTTTTTAATAAATTGTGTGATAAATAGTCAAATAACTGTAATAATATTCAATAAGTTAGTTAACACCTAAATTACAGTACCCATTTGTTCGATTAATTTTATTACAAGACCGATTTTCGACAGTTCACAGTTATTCGTTGTGCGCGAAAGTCTGATACTATGACAACCGTCAATTAAGTACAACGTAAAAACTCATACAAAATTAATTGGATACTTCATAAGCATCAGTTGTCAAACTAATCTATGTTAAATAGACACAGTACAGTTGTAGTTGTTCCATCAATATGCAATCATTGTTATTTGAATTGTTCAAGACAGATATGAGTTGCATACTACATATACTCATAGTAGAAACCTCAGCAAATATTTATTACATATATTAAAAATAATTTAAACAAAGTAAAAGTTTTCTTGTCATATTTTTTGTAAATACAAACACACTACAAAAAATAAAGCACTTTGTAATTTTTATAAATTAAATATTGACTTTTTTAATGACACATACACATTTTAATGACATTTAAGACTGGTAGAAAGTAAATGCTCTCTTAGGTCAAACACATGCATAGATCTAACAAAGTACCTACTCATTCTTAAATAGTGGCTTCCTTGAAGTTGTGCATGTCTGGAATCTGGCCTACTAGTTCCTAATAACTTGTTTGACCATGTTATGTTATTGATGAATCTGATAAGAGTCTGTACTCTTGGGATGCTATCAAGGATACTCATATTTACATTTCATTGAAAAATTAAATTCTTCTTACTAATCATTAAAAAATGTTTTGTTTTTGATTTAATAAATGAAATGTATTTGTATTTTCTAAATGATATAATAAAAAAAGAAACTGATACTTCATTATGATAAACTAAAAAATCCATTTTTGAAACATCTGTTTTTTGCAACATTTTTTGGTGATCACTACAAAAGAAATTATTATTAAAAGAAAATATTGTTAAAACCTTATATATATTTACACCTAGAATACGAAAAAAACACAAGAGATATTGTCATTAAAATGTGTTATTGCAGAGTTTAAAAAGGTAAAGTGAGAAAGAAAATTGTTATTTACAAAAAGATTGCCTATACATTTGTTATAGAATTTAGTTAAAATTATATATATTAGATATTCTGATAGAAATTTAAATATTTGTTACAATAACTAGTATTTAGGACTCACCTCTCTACCTGAAGTCAACCCTTTTACTTGAAGCAGCTCCGCTGTGTGTAGGAAGGCGAAGAGCTCCTGCTGGCGTACATGCACCTCCCCTCGGTACATGAACTGCAGAAGCTGCCGCAGCTCATGGTGGGCCACATCTTTTAATATCACAATTGGATGGTCACACGGGTTCATCTGTTGTGACAAGACAAAAACAATTAATACTATACCAAAATTACAATTTACATTTACAATGCAACATAAATATCACTCTAATGGTGTCTTAAGAATTTCGAAAAAAAAAACAAAAGATTAAATCAAATTGCTTTAAACACAATACCCAATTTACGAAGGTCAATTATGCATTATGATAAGAAATATGTACATCATCAATAAATAAATTTACTTGTTTTGTCTTAGAAAATGTATGGAATGGGAAGCTACAGGTAAACAAAATGAAATTTGAATAGACATGCAAGTAATATAGCAAATAGTCAAATTTAAATTAAAAAAAAATTGAAAGGCTTTAGAGCTAATACTGCTATCCTTTAATAATTAAAAAAAATGTATGCTGTATACAAAATATTGAATATATTTCTATATACACATTTATTGTATTTGAATGCAAATAAAAGATGAAATGCAACTTGTTTTGTGGTGCAACACATTTTTGTCACAAATGATAAGTCAAAGCTTCAGTAAAATTTCCATGTGTCATTAGTTTTCATATCTTAATGATTTTAAATACTTATTGTATACTTAGCTTGCATGACAAATTAGATAAACATTTCTAAGTATTTATCTGACTACTTGGATAACAAAATCACATCACATTACTTTGCTAACTTATAATTATAACATAGTAACACAATAATGACATTTACCAATCGTTTGAAATAAAAATAAAATATTTTAATTACATTGTGTTAGATAAGTTTTACCAAGGAGCAAAGAGTTAGATGTAATCAGTGAGTCACACCTTGAATAGTTGTTTGAAGTAAGGGCTGCAAACGGACAAGATGAGCTTGTGTGCATGAACATACTGTCCACCTGCAGCCAACGTCACGTCCACCAGGTCTTCGCCTTCCAACAGAGCTTGGAAGGATTGCGATAAATTTGTATGGAAATCGTTCCACCGCAAAGAAAATTGCTCCGACATCTCGCCCTGAAAACGTCACTCGACTCTAATAAACGCCGACATCCGAGATATGTGACTAACTGTACACCCAACTTTCAGAACATCTACGCGTCCGCACAATGAAATATAACACTTACTCAAACTTTGCACGAACTCACAATTCCAAATCAAATTCCGTCTTCAAAAATGTTTAAAACCGTTAAAAGGCATATTATCTACAATATTTCCGAAAGAATATATTAAAATAAGAAATAAACAGTATCGATCGTAGTGACTGGCATGGCAATACACCAAAAAAATATCAAAATGTCGTTTGTTCACAATGGAATGGATTATGGAGTGCTTGGTGCTTGTGCTTGGGTGGGAGTGGGGAGTCTATCCGACAACGACAAATTTCATGTTGCTGTCCATGGTCCAATCGAATTGTTACAAATATTGCCTATTTCTTTATTGCTTTGTTTTTAAATTATTTCTGGATTTATGGATTGTGAGTGTTTGACAAAAATAATAACATGAAGAAATTTCATGCTATTTTAAAAGTTTACAATCATGAGTTGTAAAGGGCAATCGATTAAGGCATATGTCATAAAACTGTCAATGTCAACCTATAAAACAACAGTAATCAAATGTCAAACACCTGTCAAATCAAGAAGCGGTGATGTGATGAGTACGTTGGCATTTCGTTTAATCAAGGATTTTTTTTATTTACCTTTAAAAGAAGGTAGCGACTATGAAATAAACCAGTACGCGAATTAAACGAACGTTGTGATGAAATGCGTGATCGTCGGTAAGCATTTACGACGTTCTTTATGTAACATGTAATTTATTTAAAGCATTTTCTTAGTCGAAATAAAATTGCCATAAATCGCTATGTCGGGACATAATGCGTTAGATGACGTTGAAACTGACAGGAGTCAACTTGCAAAGAAGATTATAAGTGCAGCATTTTACGCCCTGTCTTCGTTTATGATAACGGTTGTCAATAAAACAGTGTTAACGACCTATGCCTTTCCGTCTTACCAAGTTCTAGGATTGGGTCAAATGCTGGCAACGATTTTAGTATTATGGTGTGGGCGATATTTACGCATCGTTCAATTTCCGCCACTAGATACCGGCGTCGCCCGACGTATTTGGCCTCTTCCTCTCATTTACATGGGAAACATGGCAACAGGACTGGGAGGCACTAAAGAACTTAGTCTGCCAATGTTCACAGCTCTTCGTCGATTTAGCATATTAATGACGATGCTACTAGAGAGACTGGTACTTGGAGTAAGAGCATCATGGTTGGTGCAAACCAGTGTGCTAGCTATGGTGGGTGGGGCACTGATGGCGGCGGCGGATGATGTAACATTTTCATATACAGGCTACACACTGGTACTACTGAACGACGCATTTACAGCAGCAAATGGAGTTTACATGAAGAAGAAATTAGAGTCCAAAGAGCTTGGAAAGTACGGTCTGATGTATTACAATGCTCTTTTTATGATATTTCCTGCTGGCTTATTGGCGTGGCGGACAGGGGACCTGGAGCATTCTGCGGCTTACCCTAACTGGGGGAATGCACTGTTCCTAGTGCAGTTCTTGATGTCGTGCGTGATGGGCTTTGTGTTGTCATACAGTGTGATGTTGTGCACCCAATACAACAGTGCCTTAACTACAACTATCATTGGATGTCTTAAAAATATACTTGTCACATATCTAGGTATGGTTATTGGAGGTGACTATGTATATTCCTTTCTTAATTTTGTTGGATTAAATATAAGTGTGTTAGCAAGTCTCCTCTATACTTATGTTACATTCAAAAGAAAGCCGCCCACATCACATTTGTTGTTAAATGAGGCAAATGCTAAAGTTGACACTGTGTAACTGCAGTTTACTGACATTGTAACTGCTTTCGCATGGCACCAAAGAGAACATTTTATTTTTACTTATATTTATACATTTACTTATACATTACGGTGGCATTTTACAATTCATTAATATTTTAAATATACATTTACAATTTATATATATATATTATATAATTTAATAGTATATTTTTCAAAAGCTTTTAAGTTGTTGTAAATTTAAATATAGTTGTAAGTGTGGTAGGTGGTGGTTGCTCTACACAATATACATCTACATCATTATAAATATATACATATGTATATATATTTATTTAGCAGCATTGCTCTATTCAGATATCAGTAGTTCATGATATAATGAACAAGTTTACTTTATCTTAGCAAGTAAATAAATATAGTGAAAATAATGAGTTCAAATTTTACATTTTGTTGTTTGCAATAAAACTTTGTAATGTTATTTATCATGTGTATGTGTTGTTTGTGTTTGTGTGTTTATGTGTAAGAAAGAAATATTGTATGTACACCATTGCATAAATATGATGCCATGTTTGTATTTCTTCTGCAGTTTCTATCTAATATTCAGGTCAGGTGTTATAATGATAGTATTGACAAAATTCTGTAGGGAATTTTTACACATTATTGTGAAAGTCCGAAAAGTTATATTATCTTGTTGATATTTGCTTGAGCATTTACAACATGCACTTTGTTACTTTCAAGATACAATCATGTCACTTGATTTTACAGTGTGCAAAGTTTACAGTGTATTTGTGTTAATCTTACCATATATTAAGTGATGCATTCAAATATGCTGGCAAATCATAGAAATATGAAAAACAAATAATGACTTTCGTCATAAGTGGTAGGTAAATGTTTGACGGCGTGTTTTAGCACTGGTAAATGATAGGAGTGTCGTAGTTCCGCTCTTTTCCTTACATAATAACATTTAAAGTGTCATTAACTATTTCTATGATAAGATATCAAATAAACTTTTAGAGAGACCGACAAAAGACATTGGAAAATAAAACAATCCATGTTGAATGTTGTATAAATGTAAAACATTTGAAACATAAGTACTTAATGGTAAATTGTGATTGGCAATATATGTACGCGATAAAGTACTCGACACATTAACAGCACCAACAAAACTAACAACAAGTGATAACAACTTAAATACGTTCAAAACAGTTACTTATATCATATTCATTGTAATTGTGAAACTTTATGATAAGCCAGCGACAGGCACAGTTAGGACAGGCAGGGCCGGCTGTCTCGGTAGACCTGTCACTTCGCGCACAACTCCAGGGCCCCTGTCGTTACTCTCATCAGAGTTCATAATTAATGCATTCATATATTTCTAATAAAGAAATGCAATATTTAGTAATTTAGCTTTATTATAAGTAATAGATAAAACTTGAATAGATCTATATTTTTTAATATTGTAGAATGCAGTAATTTGCGTAACGCATGAATATGTAATCATCGTATTTTTAAATATTATAAAATTTTACACTTTTAGCGAACTCTGTGATTTTGATGGTATAAAACATGTTCTACTGCCATTAGACGTCACTAAAAGACAATTTACATCTTGATTAGTTCGTGGCTATGTATAATATAATACGAGCAAGCACGGGTATATATGTTCTTTGTTAAAATATATCAGCTGGGCAATGCAATGTAAACAAACACGATAACGTAATGGACGCCGCTACTCGCCTCGAGCATGGAGCACGCTTATATTTACATTTTGTAATTCTCTGATGTTTAAGAAGAACATTCTCAGCTTGCACTCGAAACAATAATGAGGTGTACCGCTCAAGTTATAGGTGACGTCAGATATTAACACACCAGTGAGATGTTATTTAAGAAGCAATATTGCCAAATGACTTGTGTGTGCCTTACACGTTCTATTCTTACCTAATGCCGTAAACACGTTTAATTATTTTTCAAAAGTTTATGGAGATCGTAAGGTCGAATTCACTGTTTAATTATCCTCGTTGAGTTCGCCCTTGCGCAATTTAGCTTCACCTAGCTTGTAAATGTTCAGTTGTATTGTATGTAACATTCTTATATTTGATTCGTTTTATTTCTATAGCAATTAATAGAAACGTAAAAACGTAAAGTCCTTGTGGTATTTTGTCAATGTCTGCAAACACATATCGCCTAGTTTTAATTTTGTACTAAATGCAATCTGCCCTTAATGATATCGTTTTCCTGACCGATATACTGTCATTTCTCTGCCCGTTATTTAAATGTTTCTCTTAATTGAAATCTCGCCTTTACATTCATTAAATAACTAACTAACTTCACGCCGCGCCGACTCGGTGACAGGCTCTATTGATGTCACATTCCAGTCCAAAGCGCCACGGTGATATCCTTCTTTGTTCGTGAAAAAAGGTTATAAATTGTTGCTACTAGATATAACCGCACTCATTTACTTTTACTGTGTAATTAAGCAATAATTATATATATATATTTAAATATTGTAAGTGTTTTATATACGCATGTCGAATACGCACATTATTACTTAAATAAAATACTTAGAGGCGTAAATTATATTCTTGTATACACAATTAAGTGAACATCTAATGTTATTATTCAAATTCATTATCATAAGATAATTAGATGTATAAGAACAATTTAATTATTTAATGTTAAAATTAATGTTTTCATGAATAGTTAGGTGCGAGTTGCCGCGGCTTTACACTACCATAAAACTCAGTCTCGATACAAGCTTTCTTTAAATCTACGTTCGCATTGTCCAATCGATCGAAATAATAACAGAACATTTGTCGAGTGTTCTATATAACGACTGTATTTTATATAATAAATTGTAAACGGCAGTGCGAACGTCATTTCTAAACTGAATGTTCATTTTCTAAATGAACACGGAAGGCCGTGTAAACCCCCGAACCAAAGCATGTTAAGTTTCACATTTGTTTTATATCTGATTTGAATTTAATTTTGTAAAACATGTCAGTAAAAATATAAATCCATTTGGCTTCGTTCCGGTCGCTTGTGCTGGCGGTATTTATAATACATTAAAGCTACATTAACTATATATTGAAACACTGGAATAAAAACAAAATACAAATACTTTCACAACTCTGTTATTTACTGCGTGCAAAATGTGACTGCCACTTTTTGTCAACTTATCGAGGGCATCGTAATAATTGTTACTGGCTTTTGTTCCCTTTGAAGGAGCCAACTATTCTGTGAACGGAAAGCCGCCAGCACACGGCGCTGTATATATTATATATATAATATAAATTTCGTTTATGCAAACACAATATCAATCATCTCGCGTTGGCGGTGGCAACCTTCAAGCATATTATTCAATTGTCGGCGAGCAATCATCAACGTGTATAGTATTGGTACTAATAGTAGGTGAAGCAATGCTAGTGCGATACGTTCTTAACGAGTACAAGTAAGCGTTTTCAATGTCGTACATACTGTGTGCGCCCGCGCCTATGTGATCCTCTTCGTGATCAAAGGCTGTGTCTAGATTATCCGATTAAGCTTTGTTCCATAAATAGCCATAAGTACTTGTAAAATATCCTCTACTACTAGAAGCGTATACTTGAAGAGATTTATTTATGTTTTTACATATTTCTTGTAGTTTTATATTCTGTCGACTAATTAGTGAATATAATATATAATAATCAATGGTGAAATAAAATCGCGATGTAAGATTAATTTCAAATTTATTTTATTATGCATTTACTTAGTGTTGTCATTGCCATATTATAATGTAATTTAAGTTATAGCTAATTAATTGTGAATAAATAAAATGATCACATATATATTGTATTTTAACCATTGTGCTAACAACAAACACCTCCCGGGAATTTACCTTTACACATTGAACCCGATGATACATAAGTGAGGCCTTTATTTTGTCGGGTGCATAACGTGGCTAATGACAGAAGAGCCACCGTTACTTCTCAGAAAGAGTAGTAAAATTGCGCCTCCGACACGCAAACTTAGTAGACGAAACGCAAAATTGCCTCCACTTCACGCCTGTATTCTGTGTGATCATGATAGCCGGTGGTGGTGATGCCGGTCCATTCGCGCAACAGATGCTGTTGGGGCGTCTACCACTAGTAAATCATACTAAAAAACCTGAAGATATTAGATAGATGTTGCATGTGTCCATGGACCTCAGAGGTTACTTAACACTAACACCCTTATCTTGAAACAGTAAGTCTGTTATTGAACAATTTGCTATCTTAGCGAATGCGAGAAGTCATTGAAGTATTACCATTTAATTAATATTCCAAGTAGTGCCGGATGTTGCGCGGAAACCTGTTAGTAAATAAATTCTTTGCTGTACTCGACTCTATACAGACCTAAGTGTCACTCAACAAAAACTAACTCCAAACAATATTAATATAAGAGCTAATTGGATCAGTTTCCATGGGTTTATTCTTTACTTATACATTTAAATTGCTCGCTGCTTTCTAATAAAACAATAATATTCGTAATCAAATTTTATTTAACATTATAGTTAAGTGACACTTTGTGAGCTAAAAATAAAAGAGGTAAAAACATTTATAACACTGAAGAAAGTCTCGGCTCGCTCTATGAATATATTCAATATTAGACAGACTTGATGTGGCATTGCAACGTGATATGAAACAAGAACAAGTCATATAAAAACATTTTTTTATTCAATTACCATTTTAACGAAGGTAAAATACTAAATTTTATTATTAGTTAATATATATAAATTAGTTAATCGTAACTTTTAATTAATACTTTAATAACAACATTGCGCTTTTTTTACTTTTAAAATTGTATGAATAATATTTTCCCGAATATGGGTTAATTTGTAATTTTCCTGGTGGGTATAGTGTAGGTACTCGTATCACCGACACTAATATCATTTGTATACCGTAAGACTCGCACAAATACTTGTGATGATTGCCCTCGTATTATCATCGTTAACTATGGCAAATTTAATAAGAGTATAACCCTGGGTTGGTCAATCTATTCCCCCGAAAAATAGCCCACAGGGGTTATCGACGTCCAAGTGTTCCCCTGTGAAAATCCCTTTAAACAATTTGATTACTTCGGTAGTTAAGGCACAAATCAGAAGAACACGATTTTGCATATACAGGGATAAGGGAAGGGAAGTCGCTTCAAGCACGAAATTTAATTGGACCAAATTAATTTACATGAAAAAGAAATGTTTATAGAAATAGTCTCGGATCAAGCTAATTCTAGGAATTGTAAAAAGCGTGATAATGATGACGGCAATTAAGGTTTCGTATATCAAAAATGAGGACAACCGACAAACTTGCACGATGAACAACATTTCTGGAAATGATAATGAAAAGAAATAACAAAGACACGACATAAGTTATCAATAGTTTATTACATAAATTATAGCCAAGCTTACATTTTCGTTTTTTTTTTATCTAATCATAATGAATCATAAAGTTTGTTTGAAACTGCCTAGGGTTTAACTTACTATCCGCCGGTAGAGAATGCAGGAGCGCAATCACTCGTTACAAATCGTTACCTTATCATCGATACAATTGTTTCAACTAACGCTGAACACTAAATTCTAATTCGTGCCATATTCTATAATGGCAGTCATTATGCATTACAATATGGTATATTTTAATTTTAAACATGTTAAATGGAGGGAGAAATAATTTAAACGCTCCTGCAAATGTTCTAGGAGATATATAAAAGAATCTTATAAATAATTCTATGATCACTCTATCAATATTAAAATTAATTAGGCTATGCTTGGTGTTACTACGATATAACTATTCCATTTTCCTCGATATAAACCCTACTTCGACTCGCATAAGCATCATAAAACTAAGTAATTATATGAAAAAGTATGGCTCTAGATTTCTACATATCACATGTATTAAAACTGATTTTCATAACACATCGGCCGGCGTTGTAATTTCAGACTTGTAAACACGGCAAGAAAACCATACCAACAATATGCATCTATATACAATTGATAAACGCATCAAAATGATTGTTGATCGTTGTCAGATTACTGGCGTTGCTGCCACCTTGTACTTGTGTCTGCGGCCCGGCAGCGAGCGACAGCGGAACACTCATCATTCAGTCAGACATTCAGCTTGGTTGTAGTTCTCACAACACGAAAATACTGATTATCGCAGAAAACTTTTAAGTGAAACTCACTCAAAAGTAATGCTTACGTTGAATGTACTATACTACTTCCATACGAATTAATTGCAGCTAACTCCGCACACATTTGTAAAATAAGAGCAAAACAAACGCTACACTATCAACAATGTCTCGACAATAATGAACAAACATTATAAATCTGTATATCTATTGAAATTCTTTCATTTTCATCTAAGGTATCAAAACTTTATTACTTTATAATATTGCCATTAATCTAACTAACATCCAAAATTAGGTCGTAAATAACGTGTTCTTGACCTTTAAATATACATACATTTCTTTATTGCTAAGTGTAAAAAGAGAAAATTGGTGTTATAAAAATGGTATTGCTGTTGGCTGTACTTGTACATATATACTCGAGATGTTTGTACAACAAGGAGACGATGTCTTCATGCTCGCCAAAATTATCTAAGTGGACAAAGTAAGGCCCATTACATTACATTATTCCACAAAGTCAAATTACATGAAATTTTCTGGAAGACTGAAAATAATTCACTGGTTATTTTCGAATAAATTTTCTTCAATTTTATTGGAACCCCACTTTTGAACGAACATTGAAATTATTATGTACTCAATAACATTACATCGATTGCACTTTGTGACAATTCATTGGCAAAGCAATATTTACTGCTATTTATTTTCCTTGAAATTTATTTACTGATAATTACACTGGTACGCAACAAAATTCTTTCAAAACCATGCACATTATTATTGGCCTGAATCTCCCTTAGAATTATTTTTGTAATGATTCATTTCCGCCTACGCGTTCTTTTCCTTACTCAGTATACTCCATAATGTAACGCGGAATATCAAAAACATTTTTTACATTGTCTTATTGCTTCGTTTCGTTCTACGAGCTGTATTGCTTATTCAGCTTATCTAATCCAAAATTATTTTGTAAAGCATCAAAACTGTAAGAAATAATTTTTTGCAGACCAGTGTAATTCAATAAAAAAATACTAAAGTAGGGACAAAACATTTCAATGACAACTTCCCAGTGGAAGACAAAATATTAATGAAAACACATAAAAAGCTATTCAACGCAGATGTGTGTCATACCATTTCAGCGGGTTTCGACTGCAGCCGCATTTGTATAACCACATAAATACTGTTGTGCCACTGTTTATATCAAAGAGAACGAAAGGGATGCGATGATATATGTTACGGCAGTCGAAACTCACTCTTTGGATTGCATAAAAACTTGGAGATTCATATTTATGTATTTAAAATTTTAGAGTAATAAATACACGATTATTCTAAAATATCACAATGAAAAAAGATTTTTATTAATGTTTTTCCTAACTAAGTACAAATATTTAGGATCGGCATGAAAATCAACTAACTGTTAAAATAAATAATATGAATGGTCCGTGCTAATGGGGAGAAAAACTGAAAGCTTTAATTAGGTGACCCCACGAGCAGCAACTCCATCCTCATCTTTTTAAGTTTTTATACCTCATTCTAGAGATACTTTATGTTTTAATAAACATTCAAAACTTCAAAGAGCTTCGAAGCAGGAATGCTTCCCAGCTGGTTAAGGACATTTTTCTTTTAAATAATTTCTCCTTTAAAAATTACTTGATTTTGGAATTTTTGAGTAAAACTTAACATAGTATATAAAAGTGTTTTTATAGTGTGTCTATTTGAGATAGATTAATTTGACAATTCAATAGTGACGGGTTGAGTAAAATCGGTTATAAAAATTTATATTCGATAGTTGTTCTCATAGAACTTGTCATCGAAAATTTCCTGACTATTGTTTTTAAATTACGATATAAATCAAATAAAAAAGAAACACTTTTTGTGCCAACTTTAGTGTTCAAAATTAAAATATCAAACAAAAAATTGAGATATTGACAAACAAAATTAATGTTTTTTTAGTTAATTACCCGAGACGAAGCCAAATATCTGTAATAAAGTCAAAAAGTAATAAAATACCTAAGTTATATTATTTAATTTTGCGATTAAAATTATTATAAGACCGATTCTCGATAGTTTACTTATTCATAATGCGCGTACGGTTCGACATTGACAATTGTCCAATAAGTACAACATTAATCCTCATACAAAATTAATTCGATACTTCATAGGCGTCAGTCGTTAAACTAGATTAGTTAGTTTTAAATAGACACACTATAGTATAGCTGTGTTATCAAGCTGAGATGTACGGTGAACAAAAGGCAGTTTTTTCTCCCTATTAGAGCACTCGGCAACACGCGTTGTCAACACGTGAAGGCCGCGGCAAGGAACTGGCAAGTTTGAGGATCGATGTTTTCAACTTCAAATGTTTCTTGGATTAGTGAATGTTATTGGATACCGCACGCTATAACAAAAACTGATTTACTATAATTATGTCCATGGTCTATTAAGAAATCTTAAAATTAAAACAATTTTTATAGAAAAAATTTAACTTTCGTAAATCTTTTACTGCAGAATTCAAATGCTCAAAACAAAAACACTAAAAGTGTATGTACCTAGGCGTGAGTTGTCTGCGCTCCTAAAACACAGGACAGTTTTGTTGAAACTTTGCTATAAAGTTCTAAAGACTGTAAAGCAAAGGAATGTGTATGCCCT